GCTTAGTAAATAATGAAGTGAGATCCCACTGGTTTCGAGGTAAGTTTGTGAGGGAATTAAAGATAATAAAGAAAAGCATAGGCCAATTTCGCCGTTCATACAGCAAACCAGATGAAGGATCGTCAGCTACGAGCTCAACTTGCACCGTTATTAATCCAAGGCAGTGTACCAAAGTCAGATTAGAATTTGTATTCGTGAACGCGTACGCCTGCTTTGAACTAAAAAAACGCGCGTTGCACAGGCATTCAAAGGTCGAAAACGATCAGTAATAAATTCGGGAAAAAAACTGGGAGGGAACGTAAGACAGAAAAGTGAAACACGAGGAGTCTGTTTGAAGCCTAGCTGGCGGCTTCACAAACAGGTCCCTGTACAAGCGTTCGGGCCAAAGTCGGAGGAAGGATACGCAGTAAGAAAGGCAAGACAGAAGGATAAATGAACGCTAACAAGGTAGACTTCGGCTGGGGGCAATGGAACGGTGAATTGGAAAGCTAAGAAGGTAATGCCTACAGTGTTCCAGCATAAAGATCAAAAAAACAGAGCAACACTCAATGTACAAAGAGCAATAGCGGCAACGGGAAGTTTCGACCGGGCGAGTATCACAGACAGGTTTACGTGCTTTATAAGGCGTTAAGGGTGGACAGCTGGATTGGTACTAAACGGGAGAGGGGGCAGTACAAAGCAGCCGGAGAGTAGGCAAATGGCGTCTCCGGATTGGGCTTTATTCTTGGTATCGCGTCACAGCAGCTCCGATGGCTACAGAGATGCCTGCCAGCAAGAGAGCTGACAAGGCTAGACGGTAGCGGTGAACCTTGTAGTGGAAAAAAACAAGACATGTAAAAGGATGTGGGCAAAACAGCTGTGGACAACCAATCTTATTAGGAGTTGATCAGGAAGTGATGAACAAAATGCTCGACCGTATTTTGGAACCGAAATTTGAATACTGATTCCTAGAGAAATGGAGGTCTGGTGGATTTTGCAGACATGAGTTTGGTTTTAAATTAATTTTAGTGATTAAATTTTAATATTTAGGCAGAAATCAAGAGAAGTCATTCATAAACAGAAAGACTACAATGGGAAAAGGGGAGAATATCCGCCCTTGAAAAAGTGTTTTACCATTTTTGAGTCAAGTAAAGTCCACTTTTCCAGAGACTTTAGTTTCGGATACCCATTATAATATGCTGTAAGATTATTGAGCAACCTGAACAAGTACTACAAAAGATCTGCAACTTAGTTGGAGGCACACATTTTTAGATCGAAGGTACAAATATTGAAGACAAGAAAGCCGTACTAAAAATTCGGAAGAAATGTATGCCTGTTACCGTTAGTGTAAATAAAACAGAAATGGGACGCAGTCGCAGCGAAAAACAAATTGTCTGAAAGTATAAAGATAAGTACAGTCGTTCGCACACGAGTTGGGGACTTTCTGGGTTCGCAGGGGATGCAAAACGTTTGCTTCGAAATCAACTCTCTACTGTATACGGGTGCATAAGCATAGCCAACATTTTGAATCGAGTCCCAATGCATTCTAATCCAAAGGATGTCTTTTACATAAGCACATGGGAGGTCTTGTGACGTCCGCGTAATTACCGTCAATTGCAATGTACACTTGAGTAGTTTAAACGGGTAAACGTTATCTCAAAAAGCACCCACACTAAATATAAAACGAGAAATGCAAGGGAAAATGCAATGGTGTTGTAGCAAAAAACGACAAGATAAATCTTTCCGCGGCATAAGCCTCATCGACATTGGTGCGAAGATTTTCACCATTGTTCTCCTCAGGCGGTTCCAGTCTGTGCGCGACTTCAGGACGCGACCCAACCAGGCCGGATTTCGCGCTGGGCGTGGATGTGTAGATCACATATTCACACTGAGACGGATCCTTGAATTCCGCCATAGTTACCAACAGCCAACGGTCATCTGCTCTGTTGACTTTGCCGCTGCGTTCGCCTCCGTCCATCGTGACTCCCTATGGCGGATAATGGCATTTGATGGTGTACCA